GACCCTCTCAAAGGTCGGGTTTTCCCCATAAGAAATACATTGAACAAATTTAAAAACAAAAAACAGCTGTTTATAAAAAGAAACACATTAGCTTTTTGGAAGTAAATATTAATGTTTTAATATTCAGTAGGTTAAGACAAAGTTAAACAGTTAATTAGTTTTGTTGGAAGAACGGAAAATGCCTCAAGTTGAAAGAAGAAATATTGAAAACGGGAGGAGGAGACAATTAATAATAAGGTATCTTATGCGTATGAGGAGAGTAGAGAAAGATATATCTGATCTAACAGATACACATTCATATACACATGCACTTGGTGAGATGAATAATATTTGCCAGTTCTGCTATGCGACTTACTTTGGAAGTGAAAAAATATACGAAGCACATACGAAGCCGTGTTGTCACGGTTGTAAAATAAACTTGCCTAATGTCATATCAAATGAATGTATGCAAGAAATTTTACTTATGCTATGCCACTGACGGATCGAGATATTTCAAAACATTTATTAGAAACCATAATAATTTTAGTGGCAATATTAGACATAAGTGAAGGACTTAGTATTTAGCCTATGTATTCAACGATCGAGTAGTTACAGTCAAGTTTATCTTTATGATTCAGGAGAGGCAAATAATATACGCTGTTCAAAAAGAGAAAATGAAAATTGCTATCCAAATCTTATAGCTACAAAAGTTATCCAACCTATTTCGACAAATGAATCCATACTTTCAAAACTTTGGGACAGGTATTAAGAGAAACCCCACTGAACAACGTGAGGACGTTCTGATGCGGGGCATATACTGTGACTAAAAACAACACGTTAAAATACGTTAACAAACTATCAATGGTGTTGCTGCTTTAGCCTGTATTCAAAGCAGATTACGGCTTTCCAGTTGATAACCCAGAGTTTGTGGGTCAAAAATGGAGCACATTAAATGGTTGATATCACCCGAACGTTCAGGATTCTCTACGGAGAAAACTCGTTTGATTAGGGGGATGTCTAGGCAACAGTTTTCTTCAATTCTCAATGTTGGAAAATCTTTGTTGCAACATGGTCGCTCGAATTGAAGCAGATCGTTTAGCATTCATTAGAAGCTATCAGTTAAAACTGAGAGCAGAAATAATGCAGGTGAATATTGACGACGCAAATAGAGATATTTAAAATTAGTTTCTAACAAGTATTTAAACAACTCTAAGATGTAGGCCTAACTAGAATTACTCGAATTTAAGCATAACGTTTTCCTCTGCGTTATGTTTCATACTATGCGGCTCATTGAGCCGCACGGGTTCTCTAGTAATGTTTATATTATACTTAGTAATGAAAATTAAGAGCATCTTAAAAATATATTTCTTTCTTAAATAAATAAAAAATAGGCCTGTTGAAAATACTAAAAAACATGGGGTGGTGTTTTACTTAGAAATATTAAGTTAAATAGCTAAAACTATAAAGATTTTTTTGAGAAACTATATAAATAGTTTGCAGAACAGAATAGTTAACATTTTGAACACATTATACGACAAGTAAGAAATAAATATTATGTAAACAATAATGTAAAAACATTGCAATAAACGAGTGGTATTATAGTTTAGTAACGAAACAGAAGACACTGTAAAATAGACTGAAATCGGGAAAGTACAAACAATAGTTTATATTGGCACCTCTGGTGATATCAGCTTAGAAAGTTTTCCAACAACGATTCAACTCGAACAAAGATACTTTATGACACTTTTGCCAATTAGTGTTTCTCTTCTATTTCGATGTCAGTAAAAAACTTACTTTTCGTTCACAAGTCAACCTAATTAACAAGTCAATTTATTCGTACTTTTATGTTAGGCTGACATTTCTTTATATAGCTGGATTTAAAGGAAATTAAACCAAATACATGCACATTAATCACCATGTCTATAGATCTAATAATCAAATAAAAAAACAAAAAAAACTTAACTGAGACATTATTTTTTTAATGACCCTAAATTTCTTACTAATTTAATGTTTTGAAATTTTCCCCCACCCCCCTAAAAGAAATATTTTACATACCACTTTCTTTTATTTTGAAAATGAAGAAAAAATTGTTTTCGATACCAATAACTTAATTTATTTAACAATAATTCCAAACTTAGTTGTAAACCATGCCAGAAGCCCAGATGTGGCTGTTAAAAGCTGTAACATTGTGAGTAATACAACAGAATTCTATGAAAAAGTGACAAACAATATTTAACCGTTTGTTGGTAGATCAATTTGTGAAACTCACATTGTGATTTTAACAACTGTTGTGTAAACATTGTCCAAAAGAGTATATTGTCCGGATTTCGATAGTTTTCATGTGGTATAAGAAGACAAAAGGAACCCAATTTATAATAATGTCACTAACCACTAGCAACACTTGGAAGGCTACTCTACCATTTAAGCCCTTCACAAACTTTAAGCGCATCACAACCTAAAATTCGATAGGTCTTAAGAATTTCTGAATAGGCACACAATTAGGTACGTAAAACTAAGTTTCTACTAGTTTACGTTTATGATAGTAAAGAAGAGATTTAAGTCGTTATATCATATATATTACATACATATATAACAATTTTAACGAATATCGTTTTTGGGATCTCGAAACATCAAAATTAAAACGTAATTCGGTTCCGGGTGTATTTCTGTGCCGTTGACAGCAATAGCATTTTCCCTATAAAACAATGTAGGTTCTTACTGAAATAAAGTGAGATTTTCAACAACTTGTAACATTATGCAACGAAAATAAAAAAAACCTAAATTTCCCTCAGCACATTACTGAAATTCCTTTTATCATATAAAAGGATTGCGTCTGAAAGGTTTTATCTTCAGGTACCACTTTGCAATTTATATAAACTGAGTTGTTTTTGTTTAATTTTGTAAAATCTAGTAAAGTGGTTGTGTTCCACTTTTTAAGTAATTTTTACTAACGATAAACTATTTTAATGACATGTCAAAATCTGTTAAAATTATTAAGGTCATCTGTTCATAAAAGTGTCCAAATACTTTACTGTAAACCATACAATATTAACATATAAAATGTAAATTAATATTTATGATAATTATTATAAATCTTTATAAAAATCAATAATACTTACATTTCAGATTTATAAACATATGCTATTAGGTTTTTCCGTAAAGCAATATATTTGCTTTTAATGTTGATTATGGCTGTGTTAAAATATAACATTGCATTTATAGCTAGGTTAATGTGTGTATGTAGTTTAGTATTTGTCTTAATCTAAAAATATAATGTTTGTGGTTTTGTCTTCCGGATTACTTTTTAACAATATATTCTAGAGTTTAAATACATTTTTAGACCAATGGATTACGTTGGCAACAAAAAGGTATTTAACCTCTAGAATATGTAACAAATATGAATAAAAAAATAATAAGTCACTCAATGTGGATTACGGTGAAAGGTTTAGGGACAATCCATAAAATATCCTTTTAACAAACATTAAAAAAGTTATATTTTATTTATAAAGTGTTTTTTTTCTTCTAGTAAGTTTTATTTGCTGATATTATGGAACAGAGTCTTTAGGATGTTTGCTATATATATATTAAATAGATCCTAAACTGATTATATCTTAAGCCACATTTTGATCACATCTCCGTTTATCATATAGCTTTGTATTCCACTGTCTTATGGTAGTTACATAGATAATATAATTAACTACTGATATAACATCATACAATACAAATAAATAAAATACTTTTCAGAGTATCAAATCCGATTTCACTTGTTTATTTTCAAACAACTATTCGTAAACGTTGTTCAAAGGTTTATTGCGGATATTTTCCATCACGATTGTAAAAGACAATACACAACGTTTCGGGATCTGGAATCTGATTCCGTCCTCAGGTGAAAAAAGAAACTTAACTAACACATTACAACTAGCAATACGCAAACACCCAACCTAAGTTGGAATACACTACAGAGGATAGCAGTCAAAACATATGCACTGTATAGCAGTCAAGTCATGATACAACATGCAAATAATACTATTCGTAAACGACACGAAAGATTACAATTAATTCATATTAATTAAGTTTCAAAAACACTGTTTTGACATTGTAGATGTTATAGCAGCGCCGGTTCCCCTCAGACCACAACAGACATTTAATTAGTTCTAGTGAGGTTTGAGGTGGAGATTCTCTTGACACTGCATTTCGTGGCTTTAATGAGTGATTTTTTTTTAATTTAAAATTTTGGTTGTTTTGTTTCGCAGGGATAAAAGTTTGAATTTCTTATTGTATTATATTTCACTAAATACCTTGGAGTATCTATTTTCATTACTAAACCGTTTTAAAGCTTAATTTCTAATGTTTCATTTTAGTTTTGGCACTTTTTTGTTACAAGACACAACATTGCGTCACACCCGTCCATGACTTTTGATGCTATAAAAAATATATCAACTGTCGTTTAAATGTTGTTGTAAGGGATAAAACTTGTTTCAGTGGTGGTACTTTATTTTTTTTTAAATCACATAAGGTTGTGACAGCATAATATAATTTTTTTTGGGGTACAAATTGCACAAAAACATAATTATAAGGGGAAAAACAGTTTTTTATGTGTTGGTGTGAACCAAAGGTACCCTTTATGATTGAAAACCATTTTTTATGTTGTTCTGCTTCTTAATATCTTAGTTTTGAAGCATTAAAAAGTCAATTACATTCTTATTTTAATATTTTATGAAATTTCACACATACTGGACGGGAGTGACAAGTATGGACAGGCGTGACACAAAAATAATGCAAACTGGACGGGTGTGACTGATACGGACGGGAGTGAGGTTTTACTCTGTAATGGTGGAATTCAATCAAAATAATACAATTACAGTGAAAATCTAAATTTAATTAATACCTTTTATTAAGTGATTGAGGTTAACATAGTTTTAAGGGAGTAATAATAAGACTGGAGTCCAATGAATATTGGAAAAACACAAAGAAAATACTTATATTATTTAAAGTAAAAAATTATGGAAATTGGTACCTAAACAAGTTTAAATGTAAGAAAATAACATTCGTTACTTAAGAAACATCCTATTTTCTTAGTACTTTCTTAGTTCCTTCTACAGTAATTTATAAGAATGCTTATAAAGCATGAGCTTATAAAGCTCATAATGAACACTACACTTATGTGATACTAATCAACATAAATTGAACACAATTGATCGATTTCATCACTGTTTTCAACTTTGAACAGCCTTGAGGAAACTTTTATGGGCGGATTTAAGGTGCTCAAAATTCCATTTAGGGGGACACTTTGTTTGTCGAGCTTGGTTGGCCAGACGAAAAAAGTTCCGGAACGTTTCATAAAGTTGATTGTCATGTCTTGGTCTGTGACTTCTTCCACAACTCCAGGGTACCAGGTGTTGTCGTATATCACTGAAACCCAGTCTCCAGGCTGGACATTTTCAGTTGTGTTGGGCGCAGTAGTAGCTAAAGATGAAGTAAAGGAAATTTAAAGGAAATTATGACAAAGATTTTACCTCGCGTCACGATATAAATCATAATAATAGTTGTACTAAGAAGTTATTTACTAATAATACGCAATAAACTATATGGTGCATTTTTTATTGTAAAAGGATACAATCCATATCATTAGTTTCCTGGAACACTGGCAGTGGGGTGGGAAACACCGTCACATCATTGGTAAGAATATTGTTCGGAATGGAAGTCTTTCCTGTATGGTCTGTTAAGGAAATATGTGAAAGCATTTTTCAATTAATTAATGAATTGAAATTAATTCATTAATTGAATTAATCAATTTATTGATTGAATAATTGAATTTTTGAAATTTATTTTCTTTTATGTTATTTAATTAATATTTAATCTGAATTGAACTTGATTAAATTTTTAATTAAACAAATATTAATTAAACTGAAATTAAAAATAAATTTTTCAATTTGTTATTGATTCATTAGATTTAAATTAAATCAATCAATTTAATTAACCATTACTCGATTTTAAAATAAAATATGATTTAAAAACTTTCTAAGTAAATAGTACAAATATACTGGTGTACTGGTGCACAAAATAAGCATTGAAAAGGATACGTTCAGCAATAATGCTGTTAGGCATTTCAAATTTCCCTGAGTCAATTGGGAAGTGGGAACAAATTATGCTTCCAGTACAATCTTTGCATGATAACAGCCTTACTCCAAGTGTTTGAGGATTTGTCCTAGCCCATGTAATCTGATGTATCTTCATTGTCTTTGGTATGGCTGTAAGACATGATGGTAACCCTTTTTCAGTTGCTGATATTTTTGTTTCATCTACCACGTAAATCAAAACTCCAAGAGAAGAAACAGCTTCTTTAAAAGAATGCACATCAATGATGTCGGTTTGCTTTAGAAGGATAGAATCAGCCGTTCTTTTAACAACTCCTCCAATTGCGTCAGCTGTTCCTTTGCCGTGACCGGCTTCACTTAAATTCCAGGACACTTTCCAGAAGTTAAAATCGTAAGCAAACCTTGCCATTAAGTAAAAATTTTCTTTGTTGCGGTACTGCGCTGTTGGACCATCTGAAAAGAAGTGAAGTGTGTCTACATTTGGAAACTTGTCTTTAATTAGATTTAAAATGGGCTCTAAATGCGACCAAATGGCAGATGGGCCATGATACTTGGAGGAGGATATGGTGCAGAATGAAGTAGCCTTCACTTTCGATTCTTTAGTATACAAAACCCCAGTATGAAGTGAAATCTGTGACCTAGAACCTCCGAAATGCATACTTTGGATTTCTTCAGCGTAGCGGCACAAATAATTTTCGCTCCAATCAACAACTATTAAGATTTCGTTAGTCTTGAGATCTTTTTTCGCTCCATTCAAGAATACACGTTGATGGTACGCATTGTATACATGAATACAGAACTGAGGTAGGTAGCTGTTTAATTGGTCAATCAGGTATCTTATCTTACACCTTTTTTTCTCTTTTACCACAATCGTGCACTGTGTCACATTCTTATTTTCACTAACGTTACCGGCATCATTTTCTCTTATAGTTGATTCATTCTTTGGTTTTCCTTTTTTAATCTTGTCAACTTTTTTCCTAACCCACTTGCAGTAAGTTATCTCGTCTTCAACATTTACATTTGTTAAATCCATGGCACTGTCTTTAATTGATTTGGATTTGCATTTATCACAGGTACCATACATGCAATCCTTCGATTCTACAGAACAAGCTATATTTTTTAAAACTTCTTTTGTACTCTTTACTTTTAGAATATGATTTCTTGCCAGAGGTCTTATCATTAGGTCAAAGTTAGCATGTTTTACACACTTGCAAGTATCTCTGTCATTCTCTTTTGGCGCAACAACCCAAAAAGGTTTCAACATATTAAAAGAGGAATAGCTTATCTTAATCCCAGTCTTAGAAACAAAGTTCTTATGAAGATTTCGTACTGAATCCAACAAGAAGCGCTTTTGCTTTTTTACTTTCTTGCGTGTAATACATTGTGACTTTCCTGGAGCTTGTACAGAGTTTTCGTCATCAAGAAAATATTTAATTACGAGGCCTCTGATTTTTTGTATTCTTCCTACACGAGATTTCTGGTCAGTAATATCTCGTTTGACTGCATACCTACGTTGTAGGTGAATAGAAACGCTGTCAATTGACAATCTTTTCATCAAGCCAGCTTTTTTAATCACCGGACCACTGACAAACTTTGAAATTTCTCTTTTTTCTTTTCTGGTTGTACATGTTTCACTGTTCTTCTTTAACTGTTTTTGAAGAGCACATCCGTAAATTAGCTGGCGGCAAACCTCTTTTGGACCCTTTTTTACAATTTGACTGGCCAACTTTTTTGGGGAAGGAGATGCTGCGTTCTTTGCCTTTTCTCTAAAAAACCTCTTTTTCCACATATTAATTTGCTGTTCTCTTTTCTTTTGTTGTGTCATTAACTCTTGGATATGCTTCTTTTCCTTGTATCTATTTTTCTGTATAGTCTTCATTCCTGAAACACTTTGCCTGGATTCACGTGGTTTTGCTATAACAACCTGGTTTTCAGGTGAGCTAGGGGGGGTATCAAGTGCTTTCTCTCTGTTCAGTCGTAATCTATGTCTTCGCTGTCTCTCTCTCCACTGCTTTCTTTGAGCATTTGCACTTCTTCTATCCATTTTTGAAATAGGCTTTATTTGTCCACTTTCTTTTCTTCGATCATTTCTAAGTTTTTCTCTCAAACGGTACTCAAGGTATCTTTCAGGATCATTCTTAATTTTCTCTCGTTCAGCTCTCTTTCTATCTCTGTCCTTTTTACGTAATTCCTCAATTTGTTTTAAGTTAAGTGTAGGAGTTTTCTTCTTTTTGGTTTTATTCTTCTTAGAACTACCAATCATTGCTTGTCGTTTGGAAGTACTTTGCATATGTTCAACGTAAACTTCTTTTTTTGTTGGGTTTTTTCCAACATCAACAACATTACTTTCCTTTTTATTCATATTAAGTTTTTCTTTTTCAGCTGCTAATTTTATCTTCTCTTCCTTCAATTTTCGGAAATCTTCATTTAACTTTTGTCTTAGCTCCTCAATTTCCTTACTTTCTTTTTCTAACATAATCCTTTTTTTCTCCAAACTGACACGTTGCTCTTTTCTTTTAGTAGCCAATTGAAGTAACTCTGCCTTTCTGGCCTTTTCCCTTTCAGCAGTTCTTTTCAATCCTTCTTCTTTCATGTTTTTAAGCCTTTCTCTAAATTCATCTTCAGTAACTCCCTCCATTCTAAAAAGAAAAAAAATCTGCCTAGTTTTAATACATAGTTAAAAAAAACTTGTTTAAATACATTTTTAGAAAATGTAGAAACAATTTTGAATACAATGATAGTTAATTTTAAACCCATACCAAGTAATTTATAAATTGTTTAAGGGTGGAAAATGTTATGGAAATAAACATTAATTAATATATGAGTTAATTGTATTTTAACATTACACACTTGGTGGGAAATAGGCCTAAATGCACTTTGCTGTTTTTTTTCCGTATTTAGAACGCTAAAACCCATTAGTAAACCATGAAAAATGCAATTACATCGCCAAATATGAAGCCATTATCTAGTTTGAAATTGGCCAAAGAAACGCCGTAAAAATGTTTATTTATTTTTTTTATTATTACACAAAACTCCTTTTTGATTCATATCATAAGACCTAAGTGCCAGTAAACATATTTATAATTAAAAATATATAATTATATAAGGGATTATAAATGTGTTAACTTTCATAAATTTCAGTCACTACCGTCCAGGCGTTTTAATAAAGAGTATGGACGGGCAGGACAGAATCATGGACGGGCGTGACATGGACGGTAGTGACATTTAGGGAAATTTTGCTCCCCGTGAGTGGTAGAACTGGCTTTGCCGGCTAGAATTCTATTTCTAACCTGTCCATTATACAAGCAAACAAAAGTACATCAGACATAATATTTACAGCTAGTTTAAATGAGCTAAACATTGTGGACGTTCTGTGACACCTATGAATTATAAATTACACACTTACCTTAGTAAACAGATTATTTCTCATGGAAATAAAAGTAAAATCCTTGTGCAGAAACACAGACCCACTACAACAACAGTACACATCTCACAACTGGAAACATGGCCACAGGGTTGCCAATATCGTAAGCTGAAATGCCTTAATTTGCACGGACGGTAGTGACAATACTTCCCAGGGACAGGTTTATTTTACCAAGTGAACGGTAAATTAAAAACTTAAAAAATATATATTTTAAGTTATTGTGAACTAAAATAGTTGATCGTTTCTAAACAAGTCCATTTAGTTAGAAATTAAAATCGTAAACGGTTTGGTAGAGCTTTAAAGTTAAAGTTTTAGGTCTAGGGACAAAGGACGGGCGTGACTTTTTTAATTTCGAAATTATGAAAAAAATACTATCTTAATTGAAATATGTAATATTATATTGCTACTAGATTGCCCTAGATATTTATATTTTGATACAATACTCATGAATAGTCCTAGAATAGTTTATCTATTGTAAAAAGGCCAGGGACAACAAAATTAAAATTAAAAAAAAATCACTCTAATACTCTAACTGTTAGTGGCTTAGCTTGGTGAACCTTGTTATGCTTACCTAACCTCAATGAGTCCAACTGTTACATTACATCTACAGCTACATTAAGGTAAACAAATTAACAATTCGTGTCGTATGTCATTTTTATTTTTGATGCCACTACATTTAAATAGTTGATCATTGAAGAGATAAAAAAAATAGGCCCTACACAATTATAATCTTAATTTTCTAAAAAAAACTGTAATCGAATCTAATTACTGTTTTATTAGTAAAATATTTTAAATGCTTGCATCGAATTATCCTTGATGCAATCCCTTTTCGGATGCTGAAATGGTAACTTGTGGTTGTGAGGAAGGAAAGTCCTCAAGGCTACTACTATGAGTCACAGTCAACCACTTCATTGGTCATGAGCAATGTTAAATATGCAAATAAAAAAGGAGAAACAAATACATAATATACGAACTTAATACTCGTACATTCACTCTAACTCGTTATCAAGAGAAAAGACAATAATTTAACAATATTCAGTAGGATTACAAGCAATATCATATGGAGAAATATTCTTAAAAGTCATACAATAAACGAAATTACACATAAATACCTTTGTTTGACAATCTCATTGTCCCCAAGTTTTGCTGAAACCAGATGTTTTCTGTTTAACTTCTAAATTATCTCAAGTCTCATTACAAGGTTTCTAGAAGTTTTTGTAATTTTTAACAAAAACTCCTTGAGGTCTTGCAGATTTGCGTCTTATAAAGCACAAAAGGAAAATTACTTCAAGCAACTGTTTCAATAAAGTAAATGTCGTATTTAAATACTTCCGGTGCATTAAAACAAAGTGAATTTCCATTTGCCTGATTAGATTTAATTCAAAATGTTCCTTAAATTTGTCAGATTTATGCCCTATTAAAATATAATTAGATTTAAAGAGGTGGATACAAATCTTTTTGACCAATCGTTAATATTATAGGATGATACAAATAAATTTGCCAAGTTTGATCATTATATATATTCGTAAGTAAACTACAACAGTTTAATTATTCTCCTAAGGAATAACTTGAGATTTAAAATTTATGCTACAATTATTTTGGAATTTTCTTAATAACTATTAAGCGTTAGGAAGAACGCAAGACAGCACATCAATATACAATTTTTTTAAAGCTCTGCAGAACTATGAAAATAAATCTTCTTTTTAGGTTTGGCAATATAAAACACTAATTATACCCCATAAATCCCTGTTCCCATAGTCTGATCATACTGGTTCGTGAACTCGCTCAAATTGATGTAGGTTTACACGTTTATAAAATAAATTAATCAAGATCGGATAACTTTGCGATAACAAAGATAAGACTTTGATAACACTCACACATTGTATACATTTGTATATATAAGTAAATTATAACGGTGGGTGTTTTTGGCCACCCACAACCTCAAAACTAAAAAGTAAAATTGTCTAGGGACTAGGTCTTACGATGACGCCTAAGGTAACACTCATTCCCTATTTGAGAAATTCGCTGAAAAGCCTTCATAAAAACTCATATTTATTTACGCTATAAATTTAATTAACTTAATTTATTCACCTTATAAAAAAAATAAAATAACTTAAAGTTACGGAATCTTAAACGGAATCTTAAACGGTTAGGTTAGGTTAGGGTCTTTTAGATTTTAGGTCTTTTAATTGTAGAGGTTACAAAAAGATTAGGTCTTTTGATTTTATATGCAAGTAAAGACCCAAATAAATAAAACAATTCATCTAATGGTGTTGTTAGAATTATAATTGTTGGGGTTTTGTTAAAAAAGAATTTTCTTCTTCCCATACAACTTTTTATTTCATAATAGCATAGCTAGGTATATAGATTGTACGTTTATTAGTATTATACAAGTAATAAATTATCGAAGTAAAAGCAGATGATGTGATTTATTTACAAAAGTTTATGGACCTTTTCCTAATTCACTACCACTTACTAGTCCACTAGTGGAATGTGGTTAGGTTAGGTTAAGTTTTTCCAACTCTATACTAACCTAACCTAGAATAAACAAAGTTTAATTCACTACCAATTCTATTGCTAATAATCTATTTCTTTAAAAACTAGTGGTAGTGATTAACGGAAAAAGGTCAAAATTTAAATGTATGTATGTATAAATTGTATAGATGACTTGGTATTAACAACAACAATGGAGGGAACTTTGTTAATTACCTCACAATCCCAATACAGAAGTAGGTGTAAAGGTTCAGTTAGGAATGTTCCGGCATCAGTTCCACCTTAAACTCCCAAGAACTAATTAAATGTCTGTTGTGGTCTCAGCAGAACAGGTTTAGACTTATGTAATTGGATGGATCCTCTGTATCTGAAAACTTGTCTTGAGTGAAGTCAATTTCAATGCACTGCAATCAAAGTTTGTAATCGAAATCAAAGTTGGGTGTTTTGTTGGTTATAAACAAAGTAGTCCAATTCAGTGGTTTGAGTAGATAGTAATGCAATCTATTGGACCCAGACCGCTTTAAGCTCTAGTGTTAAATTGGTTACAAAGAAAGAATTTTGTAGCCTGCCTAGAATTGAAAGAAATAGGCCTATGTCACTTAGGCAAAATGAAACTTCTCTCTATTGTAAATATTCTTCTACCAGTACCTACAAAGATTGCTCGATATTTAATGTCTTTATTTTTTTGTTTAGTTCCATTTACTCAATTAATATGGCGAAAATGTGATCAACTTAAAAATGCAGAAATCAGGCTTCAACCCAGTGAACATAATAATCCTCAAACATATGACAATGCTTCAACAGATGTTCCTCGCAAATTAGCCAGAACAAGAAAGCAACGAAAAAGACTGGACTTATGAATCAAATTTAGTGGGGAAGAAACTGTTGTATCTCTATGTTTCAAATGCTATGTATTTAATAATTTAATCATATGTTAGTCTTTACGAATATGAAATACTAATGAAGTTGTCTCAAAATCCCCTTTTCTAGATAAAACCTTAGGTTTAACCTTAGTAGTTAGTACTGTGATTTGGAAAAGATTTTACACTTTAAAATTTGAAATCTTTGTAAAAGAAGTTTTTGTATAGGCACTTTATATCGCAAATTATACGGTATTCTACTTTTATGGGTATAATATTTTTGTCTAGAACCAATGTATTTGAAAATAAATACTGGGGTTTTGTTTGATCTGGATTGAGCATAAAGTCGGGCAAACTGGCAATGTATTAATTGTATACCCATACAAAATTAGGTATCAATTTGTATTATCAATACAAATACAGTATGGTTGGATGTTCATTTCACACAAAGACATATCATTTGTATTATTCCTTTCCACTTATGACTTTTCTAACAGAATTCCTGTTAATTCTTCAATTCTAAAATATACTAGGTCTACAGAAAATTTTAATTGTTACTTGGATCAGTAATTGACGTACGATGATAAATCATTTACAAAGAAAACACCTCAATATAATATTCTTATTTCTTTGCCAAAAGACTGCTCTTATATAGATAAAATATTATATAATCAGATGTTTTTAAATTGTTTTTGGTTAAAAAAAAACAAATAAGAGTTTAGTATGTTGTTTTGATGTAATAAAGAAGATAGTTTTTGTTAACATTTATTTTGTCATTTTTTTTATGTTTAATCGTCCGTGATTATCTAATCAATTATCAATTATCAAATCAATTGAATCACGTATATTGACGATATCAATTGGCGACCGTGACAGGACTTTTAATTAAGAAATGACAAAATTAGGAGTTGAAGATTTGACAACTGAAATGCTAGAGAAAGACCTGGAAGAAAGTGAGCAGAAGGAGACAGGAAGCAAAGCCTAC